GATGGTAAATGATTGGGATGGGGAAATGCTTTGATACGAGAGGATCGACTCGTGGTAGCGCTGCCTCAGATGTCACCCATCACCAGTCCGCTGCTCACAGACAGTGGCAGTGTTGACCACACAAGATTGCTTGGCATTGTGGGTCCAGTCGTACAGCTAAATGTTCAAAATGGGATTCACATCGGTTTGCATGTAAAGAGGTTTGGGGGATGCTCTAGATGCGCTACCTACCATTTACTGAACTCTTATCTTCTTTTCCTGTTTTTCCATTGCTTACAGTGTGAACATTACTAGTCTAGTAATAGATAGTTTAAAGTTAGTTTGGATAACATGTAGGTATGTTGAACAGGGTCAACAGTGTATTATTTTAAATGAATGTACATGGGGAGGAAAAATGGTGAAATAAACTTGTAATATCGATCTTAATAAATGTTTCATAAGTTGACACCTGTTGTTTCATTTCATTGATGTGAATAATTTAGTCTAATATGCTCATCTTTTTGAACATAGTAATATTGAAATATTACAGTTTGAAATAACTGTTTTCTATTTTAATATATTTTCATGTAATTTATTACTGTCATGATAAAGATAAACTTTAGCAGCCATTACTCCAGTTTTCATTGTCATATGATCCTTCAGAAATCATTCTAATATGCTGATTTGGTGATGCTTAAGACACTTGTCATTTATCAATGTTGAAAACCGTTGTGCTGCTTTATTTTTGTGGAAACCAAGATGCTTTTTTTTTTTTCTTTCTTTTTTTTTTTGATAAGCAGAAAGTTCAAAAGAACAGCATTAATTCAAAATATAAGTTTTTTTTTTTTGTAACATCATAAATGTGTTTACCGTCACAGTCCTTGCTAAATAGAAGTATTCATTTCTTGAAAAAAAAAAGACTTTGGAACAGTAGTTTATGTGATATAATATTAAAAATCACCTTAGTTTACATAACTTAAAGGGGTCATATTACGTTGCTAAAAAGAACATTTTTTTGTGTATTTGGTGTAATGAAAAAAAACACATTATTTTCCATATAATGTACATTATTGTTTCTCCTCTATGCCCCGCCTTTCTGAAACACTCGATTTTTACAAAGCTCATCCTTATAAAAAAAGCGAGGTGTGCTCTGATTGGCCAGCTATCCAGTGCGTTGTGATTGGCCGAATGCCTCAAGCGTGTGACAGAAATGTTATGCCCCTTACCATATTGTGATGATGCCCTGTCTGGCCGGACGAGACTCAGTCCAGCTGCTCCGCTCGTGCACATCCCATCATCGGTTCTCTTTTAGCAGTTCAGTCAATGTACTGTTAGAAGTAACTGAATAACTCGGGATATTGGTTTATTTCGCGTCAGAGGGAGTGTCAGGCACGT